CACCAAGATTGCATTTCATGATAAAAATCTGAAAGTAGTTACAAAGATTTTGCAAAACAATTCTTATCCTCTCACTTTTATTAAAAAACATATCAGAAAAAGACTCGCAGTTTTAAATTGTAATAATAATAACAGTTTGTGTCCAACAATAATTGAACCGGAAGTTAGCCTTACAATTCCATACACTAACAGTTTTACTAAACAACTGAACACCAAACTCAAAAATTACAATATTCGCACGGTTAATTCCATTAATCTAGATCATATTGTTACACGAGGAACGGATAAATTGCAAAAAGTTGATAACACCAATGTCGTTTATCAGATATACTGCTCGACTTGTCCTGCAAACTATATAGATCAAACAAAAAAGAAATTAAGTACACGCATAAAAGAACAACGAAATAATATAAATAGTTTTCCCAAATATCATAATGTAATTACAAAACATCGACTCGACCATCTGTCGCATATTATAAATTGGGATTATGTTAAAATTAAAGATAGGGAAACTTGTTTATCAAAACGCCTCTAGTCTGAAATGGCTCACATCAAAGCTAATTCATATACATTGAATTTACAAACAGATACTGATAAGTTTCACGACCTCTATCTATCTGCGCTCATTTAATTTTCTTTCCTTTGTATGAACACAAATCAGTCTCATTCGACGTTTCAACTGACTAACTTGTCTTCGTTTTGTCTCACGTTTTTGTCACAGTGTTTGTTTAGTTTGTTTTGATTGTTGACTATATTTATTTATGTGAANTTCAAAAAATTTTATTTACCCATTTTTGACAAGAAAAAATTTTGTGGCTCTTTAAAAACTTTGAAATTTCGTAAATTGTAATTTTCGACTCTTCCGACTCAAAAGGTTGCCGACCCCTGTCCCAAAGGGAAGGAAGGAAAGGGTTAGTACGATAGGGAAGACCTTATACAGCACTAATAAGTGGAGGTGGTGATTTGGAGCGCAGGGGGAGGTTAAAATAGCAAGTGCTACCGAGTTGTTTAGACTAGGCGACTATTGCTTGGAATAGTGTGGGGTTGGAATGATCTTGTAGAACACTAAAAAAGCTTTTTAGATTGGGGCGGAAGGGTGAAAGGGGCCACCGCCAAAAACCATTCAAAAAAAGTTTCTGCTAAGATATAGGTATTGTGTTAAGTTCAAAGATGTGATTTATTTTTATTTATTTTTATCTTGCATTTAAATGAATGAATAAAAGTTGCTCTCATTGGCCATTGAAGATATTAGAAGCTTAAAAAGGTGACGAAGAGACATTCCATAAATGCCTTCTGATTCTTTAACTGAAGAGAGCTCAAACAATTCTGAAGTCCTTGGAAATGGTAGAATGAAGATTCGGGCTATAGGGCCGTGGTCTAAGTGAACTATTCCGTCCAGACGTTTCGTCAGCTACTGCGGCTGACATCCTCAGTGGTGGTGCTGCGTTGACAACGTGAACGTAGATTATATCTCGAAGTCTCGACAGCGACTGGGTCCCAGGACAGGGCTTAGACCACGGCCTTATAGCCCGAATCTTCATCCTACCATTAATGTATTGCTTTGTTACGTTGAATACGGTCACCAAATATATGTTTACGTTTTTGTAAGCGGTAATGGTAATACTGTTTTTTCTGTTTAAATCTAAAGAATGAGAAAGAACAAAACGGAGAGGTGTTTTGTTTACAAAATCATCTTCAAAAAAACTGAGAAACACAACAATTTCTTTGTTATAAAACATTTAATTGCTAATTCATCTAACGAAGCTGCCACTGTATGGCAAAATAGTTATTGTGGATTAACGATAGGCAGAAAATTTTGTAAATTGTAATTTCCAATTTTTTGAAGTGAAAACTTCTGTAGCTATACAGCTACGACGATCGATGCGGTTTTTACGCGATACTTAGATAAATTTCAATCAAACGTTTTCATTTCTTACTTTAGTTACCATAAGCCTATTGTATTTTTTTTTAGAACACAACGAAATAATTGAAAGTACATTGATT